TTAATATCATCGATCACTAGAAAACAAAAGGCTGGCCTACGCAACCGTTACCCATAATAAGCAATACGTTAATTTAACATGGAATACTTCGTTTCAATGATAAATTCCACGATAGAAACTTTATCTAGAAAAATAGTACCAAGATATTCAATATGTAGTATTTAAAATTATTTGAAAAAAAATCTTTGTGGTTTGTATCATTATTATATTTAATATGTAAAGTATATGTTCACCATACTGCAGTTGGCAAGACCTGGCATTTTTCGATTGAAACACGCAATTATTTTACAAAATATTTTTAACTGTGCGACACCTGGGCAGATTTGATATGTTTTAATATTTTATATGATATTTTAAATTCGTTTTAATAAGCAAACGTAAAAATAATAAACGAAGCCTAAATTATACATATTTACGTAACAAAATTCTTCCACAATCTGATGTTGACAGTTGTTGATGAAACCTAACTGAGGTGAGCGAATACGCCAACCACGCAAAATTAGTGCTAACACATGTTTATTTCTTCAGAAGCATAAAGCAAACACAAAACAAAGACATGAAAACACATAAGATCACCCAGAATCAGTTTTTTTTCAACCATTTTGTTTACACTAAAGCACGGTGCCAACGGAAATAAAAATACGAAAACCTATTCAAACTCTCGATTTTTGGGTCCTTGTTCTTAACAAGATTAACTGAAATCCTAACATAAAATCACTCATTCTTTCTAAGTGAACAGAATTAAATTACAAATATCCTTTAGGTTTCATAAGTCCTAAAAACCATCTGCGAATAATACATGTTTTGGCACACACCCATATAAATGACCAGGAGGAACACAACCTAACTTTATACACATTTAGTGATTTACTCAGATGAGAAGCCATTAATCTTGAGCAAAGGATTTTCAAATATTGGTTGAATAATACTAATAGTACAAAGTGAAAAATACTATTATAAACCATGAATATTTTAGAACAGTGCGACTATTTGATAAAGGTTTTGTTTAAAATATTTTAAATGTGTGTTGTTTTTTTACTATTTCAGCCAAACTGATATACTTTATAATAAAAGCTAACCTTTGAATTTATGCACAAAAATATTGACATATGCAGATCTAAAACTTGCTTTTCTAAATATTAATTTTCTAATACCGGTACAAATCACTTCATACACAGATAAATGAAGACCGTATTTTTAGTACACAAAAAACCTATATTTAAAAATAATGCTTAATATAACAAATAAAAACAATGATTGCATGTGATTGCCCCCACCTTTTTTTTTTTTTTTTTAATTTACACGATACGCATAGATAAGATTAAAACATGCACTTTCATGGATAATTCCGAGTCTGCTAGCATGAATTATTATAATAAATTATACATTATATCACCAAATAAATGCGCCTACAACATATAATCTGCAGATATTGATTTCTGAGGCTCAGTGAGTTAGGATCAATCGCAATCGCTGTTGGCTACGTAGGTTTCAACGTCAGGTAATCTACGTAATCTATAACATAAAGAAAGGGAAGTAAATATCTGTATTTTCAACTGTCATAACGTAAACTCCAGAATTGTAAAGATTTTAATTTGTTAATAATTAGGCCTAATTATCGGATAAAAGTTTTTGTTTTTTTCTACTATCAACGTTTTGCTTTATCAGTCGCTTATAGTAACATCATAGGCTATGGAAAGGATTGTACAGACGAGAAAGAGTAGGGCTAGCAACTTAGAAAATAAAAATAAGTAAAGAACCAGTGACAAACGTATTTGTTAACAACTTTAAAAGTACATATCGATTTTTTTTTTTTTTTACAGAAATCTGTTTTAATAAAACAAAATCGACAGGTCTAAAAGTACAGTATTAATTCGTATCGCTGCTTACGTGTATGCATGAAATTAAACACACGGCAGCAGAATCCAGCCTACTTCAAGAAGAAAAAATGAAGTTGCCCCAGTGTTAAGTCAAAATCTAAACGTTTCAAAATCCTTCTGAAACTCTCCGATTTCACATTTTATCCATGAATTGTTTATAAAAACTGTTTACATAAGTATTTATAATTCATAAGCAAAAGAAGAACCATAATCGTAATTAAACTTGTTAATAATAGACTACAGTTAACAGATAACGCTTTGAAAGAATTCTTAACAAAGTGTATCACACCTAATCTATAAACAAAGACTGTTTTTAGTTTTACCTAAAGAAAATGCTACATACTAATTGTAAATATAAAACATATATTTAATATAATGAAATATTTTATAGTTTACAACAAACTTGCTTTTTTAACATTCAAAAATATAGTACTGTTTTGTTATAAAAAGTATATTTGAAATCAATACCACGGAAGTCTTGATATTTAGAATAGAAACACTTAACCCAAAAATTTAAAATACGGTTTTAAAAAATGTTTATAGAAACGTGCTTAATTTGTACGATCACGTGATGGTTTTGTTTTGAAATTAAAGTAGTATCAACGCAAGATATTGGTATTTTTTAGGTTAAAAGGTTTGAAAACTTTAATTGGGTTATATTACTATTACTATTAGTACTAGTAAGAAGCAAAATTATAGCCCAACGACTAATTTAACGGTACTAAAATTGTTAAAAATTTTATAATCCTCCGCCTATTTTCGTTATGCACGTATATCCATTTTTCATAAGCGCTAAATTTCAAGTTGATTTACACTTTTATACCTTTCAGATTATGTAAATACAACAATAGTTAAAATATATAAATTATGATATAAAATTATAAGTCTAGGAGACCTTAACCTAGGCTTTTAAAGTAATATTACTTACTATGTTTTGATGTTTTGTACTTCGTCAAAATACGTGATAATGCCGATAAATCTTCAGCTTTAATCGCTTGAAAAAGCTCGTGTTCTTTAGCCATGGTTGATATCATCGAGTGAAATAGTATTTTCTTATCAAAGTCCGCGTATTAAGAATCGTTATGTTTTAATTGAATTTGTTAGCACTAACAACGTAACGTAAGCTGACAACACGTCCGTTTCACCGAACCCTAGTGCTGAACTTAATCAGTCGTTGACCGAAGAGCAACAGTGTCATGTAAAATTTTTCGCATTTCGCTGGTTATCTTAACCTCAAACTGATGCTCACAAATCACTAATATAAAACTCGTGCCCAAACTCTTGCGTTATTGTTTTTTTCTTGCACTGCCACAAAGAAAACGTTCCTGTAGTGCTTATTCTTCGTTCCCGATGCAATGCTTGTCCTGATCAGCGAAAATCTCTTACTAACACACTGTAACTTTCTCCTCTCTCTCAGCGTGATGTGCTGTACGTTCAGGTTCGTTTAGACATTGAACGATACACTTGACAAATACGCATGCGCTTAGCTCAACCAGTCAGCTGCCTTTCAAGGAGTTGTTCTTGGCGGGAATTAATATTTGATTGAATAACATCTAAATATGCATTATTCATTCCAATCTTTTCTCGTAATAAAATGTTTCTATTATAGGAAAACATTTGACGTAACATGCTTCATATTTTGTGTTGTTTGTCTACTTTTCATGTTTCAAAATAAATATAAAGTACCAACGTTTGTTTGATTGCTTCAGAATTTCGCGAAAAGCTACACAACAGCTATTTGGGCATACTCGTTTTTGAACTTTTAGAGAAAGGCAAGGCAGGTATTCAGTAACACTCACCGCCAACTCCTGGGCTGCTGTTGTCTGACGGAACAGTGAGATTTCACAGTCAGTCCTATATATAGCGCATTCAAGTCCCCTCCCCCCAAAGTGCAGAGCGCATTTTTGCCAGACGGGGACGTAAACCATGAATCCCTAAGCCTCGCCTTTCCCATTATAATAGACACTGAGTAACTACTAGAGTTGAAACGACGACTAGTTAATTATGTACTTTTTATGCATTGATAATACCCCCTTGTGCTAATTGAACCCTCAAATCACCAACATGTTAGGGATCGGTGCCTTCCGTATCTACATAAATATGATAGTACTGTCTGTTGTACGTCCATGTAATAATTCGCAGGTGTGGATGGATCTTCACTAAATCTGGCATGAAGATTTGTTGAGTCCATGTGGAGATACATGCAAATTTGCGGTTTCACATTTTGTGTTTTGCAGTTTGTATGGACGTTTTTGCGTTTTTTACAATTAAATATAAGAGAAGCAACTTTTCATGTCCCAAGATAATCTTTCATTAACCATGAATTTACATGAATTCCATCCAGGAGACGAGTACTCTAACTAGTATTAGAATGTATTGAGTAATTTTATGTTTATACTCGTTGCAACACCCGGTATAAAAAAATGAATAGCCGTAATTAATAGGATTTATTACAGTATTGATGGTGTTTTTGTTTATATTTTTTGCGGGACTCGAATGTTATTAGGGGTGTCCAATAAACTCATGAACCCATAAATAACTCATAAATAGTCCTAGAAAGTTTAGCCAAGCGGTAATTCTAGGATTAATTAGTTTACACACATTACGATGCATAATATTTCGATGATTTCAGAGGCACTGATCATGATATCATGGTTTAGTTTACATCAGTGTTTCCGAAAGTGTGAGGTGCGCCCCTAGGGACGCAAATGACCTACTGGAGGAGCGAGCGATTAGGGTAGAGTCGATATTGCAAAATTAAGAGTTTTAAAATGTTTTCTATTAATGAAAATAATAAGCAATTACTACAACACATATAATATTTTAATCCTTTCGCCACAAGAGATTTTATATTCGTGAGGACCAGGGAAAATTGAGAAGTTCAAAAAAATTTCTTTTTTTGATTTATTGCATATTCGATTCAAAAATGGCCCCACAAACCACATTTCTTGGATTCAGTGTGGAAAACCCTTAATCAAAGTACGCTCATATAGCTCCTGGGAGTGGAAGGACCGGGTGTATTGTACGCCCCTAAGGTAACCCTGAGGGGGGAAGGGTGACTAAACTACCTAGGTAATTTTTAACTTAGCAACAGATATGCATCATTGATGATGCTAATTTATTCTCCTAAATTCTGTTTAAGATACGTATTTTTAATATCTTAAACATAAGTTCGCTGAAGTGAATCAAAGACAACTAAAAAAACACCAAACATATAATATACAGTCCCCTTCGATTTGCTCTTATCCAAGGTTACTGATGAGAGGTGGAATTTTCCGAAGTCAGTATAACTCGGTGACAAGCGGTAAATCGAATGATAGATCGGGCTTCATATTTATTTTTGGTTGGGAAAACATGCTTTGCGGTGTAGCAGTTGTTCGTGATATAAGGTATAACCATTACTGTCGCATTAATGCTACAAGATTATGTAAAAAGTTGACCACCAACAGATAAGTAGCACTAAGTTATAGCGTGGACCAATGTACTAGCAGTAAATGACAGGGGCAGTTCATTCCACTGTGTGATGCGTTCATGGCGCTCTATTATCTGTTTTCTGCCCTTGGGTGTGGAAAATTAGAAGACATTAGGGGTGTAGTTCGGATTATTTGGATCTTTCAAAGAACACTTTTTTAAGAGAAAAAACTGAACGGCTTTTTGTTTAAACATGGATTTTTTATGTAATAGTTATGAGTAAATGCGATACTCCAAAATAATTTAGAGCTAACAAAATGGGATACTATTCCTATTTGCATAATTAGCTTTATTAATTTAAAGTTAGATTTACCTTAGAGTTACCATCAATATTACAGTAAACAACCATCAGGCAACTACGACTGAAAGTGACGTTAGCTGGAAAACCTTTATAACAGTAAAAACATCTTTTCTGGGGGTTATAGGTTAGTGGTAAACACCAGTCAACCATTAGCTTGGTACCAATTAGGTTATTTATACTGATGTGTTCAGCCTTTCGTATTCACATTTCTTGCAATTGTCTTATGCAAGTGGAGAGATAATGTGACTGCAGGGACTCACGAGCCGGTTGGTCATGCCATGAACACGTAACTTCTCCGATTGGTTGCGAATACGTTTAATTTTCAGTCTTGTTTCAACTTTCAAAGAGTGAAAACTCGTTCGGATTTACAGTCAGTGAAGTTGTGCGATTTTTAAGGGGTCATTGTATAAGAGTCACATGTCTTTTTTTCACTTCAGTTTAAGTTCAATTCGTCGTGTGTTTTTTCTTATTAGGTTAGGTTCAGTTCTTCGTGTGTATATATAGTTTAGGCTCAGTTTTTCGTTTCTTTATGAGTTTAGGTTCAGTACTCTATTACGTTTTGTCGTTGTGCATTAAATTTTGTTTCATATTCGCTTGTGGTTGTGTTTTATTTTACATTTGTTGTTTGTCTTTTCATTTCGTCATACATATATTTTACTTCCACACGTATTTGCTGAATCCTTCGATCTTTTAGTTAACTGTATGTTCTAATTACCTTATAGCTAATTAATCTTGTTACGTATTGCAATTTCAAACAGCCTAAAACTGAGTTAAATTGTAATTTAGATTTAGTAGTTAAATAAATGCCAATTTATGATATTTGCCAGCAAGATTGATACACACAGTTTTCTTTGTTTTATACAAATATGTTTTAATATACAAACAATAATACAATTTACAGTAACAGTTATTACAAACAGCTACTACAAACAATGACTTATTTACAAAAGTTTTACAAACTTACAAGCAATATAAAGTCTTCTTTCTAGTCTGGAACATCCTTGATGTCTTAGCGAGGGTTCACGATGAACGAGATAATTTCGAGTTGCCGTAGATACAATTCACTTAATAGGGAGCTCTGTAGTCTTCACTGATCACATGCCGTTTTTTTCCCACCCATGAAGTTGGGTAATGTTTTCGTAAAAGTACTAATGTCCGCTGTGAATCCCCTGAAGTTAAATGGTTTGTAATGTTCGAAATTTATAAACGTTCCTGATCAAATAGCTTAAGTTCCCGATTAAAAAGCGTTATTCACAATTATAGCTTCCGAGGTTTATAGCAAACCAATAATAGATACTGTTTTCTGGCGCGTCGCGTTGGTTATAATTATAGGCGTGTGCAGAGTTTCTCGAAATTTCAGTTTTACATAACAATACTGACGCTAACCCTAACGTTTACGTACATAAATATATTGTTGATTCTTACACACGATAATCTTCTACAACTTTAGAGAATAGGCGGGAGTTTCGCAATACATATCTAACAGGATAAGTCATGTACATTTCTAAATATAAATTTGATTTAAACAAACATCGATATTAAAATAAATATATGATAATAAATCCATCACAATCTTAAGCCCCCCCAGTGGCACAGCGGTATGTCTGCGGATTTACAACGCTAGAAACCGGATTTAGATACCCGTGTGTAGCTTAATTAAAAACAAACACAATCTTAAATAAGCCTACCACAAGAAAAATAAAAAGAATAAGGAAGAACCAAAAACGTTTATTCTGGATTTACATTTTACAGTTTTGTCATGGATATGACCTGCTTATTATTCAATATTGTCAGTAACTTTGAACTTTGCGAGCACCTGGTGCTGTATTTATAAAATCCCGTGAGGAATATTTGTCATTCTTTTATCAGTAATAGTTGGGAATTCCTCCCTTTTTTCTTAACATACTGGCAAAGTACAACATTCTGTAGGTAAAATTATAGCTTAAATCACTCTAGTTCCATTAGGCTGCAAACTAACCAGTGGGATCAGGAGCTAATGAAAGCTGACATTTTGATGTGCTACTGATAAAGACCACTAAAGCTTATTTTCTGTATTCTTTCATAAGACCACTACTGTAATAAAGTCATGTCACTTATCAGGAGGTGAAGACGTGTGATGGAAAGCTTTTATTGTTACACACTAGCAGATAAATGACATCGCCGAGAAACTGATAATTTAATATTGATTTTAGCTTGTAGCTGGGGAGATAAAACTTTTTATCATGTCTAATACAACAGTTTTAAAAACTGGGGGAAAAAAACGTGTTTTAAAAAAAAACACCGAAAGGTAATTTATTTATAAAATATCTACACACGAAAAACTCCTCAGGTGAGATGGATTGAGAAGTGATCAAATGGATAAACTATTCTTTTTTTTTCTTGTATAGTCTATAAACAACAAGCTGGAGTACCCGTCCCCTGGACAGAAGTTATGTAAATTCATGATTAGTGAAAGGTTATCTTAGGACATTAATGTAATTGTAAGAAACGCAATAACGCCCATAGAAACTACAAAACACAAAATGTGAAACCGTAAATTTGCATGTATCTCCCCGTAGACCAAATGAACCTCCATACCAAATTTGGTGAAGATCCATCCACACCCTGCGAAGTAGTTACACAGACATACTGTATTATTATATTTGTATAGATG